ATAAAGCATCTACAATCAGATTATAAATAACCTACAATTTATCTACAATTTATCTACAATTTATCTACAATTTTTGCAATATGTCTTCTTCTTCTTCTTCTTCAAGTTTCAATCTGAAATTCAGTCAAAACCAAGTCTAATCTTCACCAAAACCCATCAAAATTGAGATATAAACTCCAAACCGTATTCCCGATTATTTTCAACAATACCCAATCCAAACAAATAATGATTTTTGAAAATCCAAATTTGAATTTAAAGCTTTCAAGCTTTTTAATGTCTGTCAATGGTGGAATTGCTGCTCTCTCTTTATTTTCTTTGTATTACTGAAATTTGCGATTGAGAAATAGAGAGAGATATAGAGAGAATGTCGACGAACTGAGCTTTTGCAGAACTGATTTCTACAATTTGATTCGAATTTGTTGACGGTTTTGTCTTTTTTTGATTTGTGGCTTAAGGAAAAATATCGAAGAACAGAGTTTTTGCAGAAAAGAGTCTATGTAATTTGATTTTAAATTGAAGATATAGGATTTGCGTTTCAAATTTGATCTGAAGGTCACTAAATCAATTAGAATATTCTGTTCCTGATTTGTAGCGCGCCTAATTAGGAAGGAATCAGCTCCCAATAATTAGTATTTAATGAATGGTATAATAACTGTAGAAAAACTGTGAACATGGCGGGTAAATATGAAACTATGCACATTTTTGGTAATAAGGTTTCATATATGGTATATGAAGGAAAAAGTCTCTTATTTTAATCTGCTTTATTAGCAGAGGTTGAAGGTTGAGAAGCCTTTTCTTGCATCTTTCGTGTTTAAAGGCTATTCATTTTTGGGCTCAACGTCTTCACCTTCCTATTCAAATTCCGAGGACTCGGAGCAAGTTTCCAAAGAGCTTGAAGTAGAGTGCCGGGCAGAAATGTTCTCGAATGAGGTTATTTCTAAAATAAGAGCTTCGGCAATGCAGTCATCTACATTTGCACTGCCATTTTTGGCATCCTCCAAAGTCTTCCGCCTCATTCTATAAACAGCATGAATTTTCTCAAGAAAGAAAGAATCCTTTGAGCTCGAAATCTGGCTTGGAATTTGTGGATCTTCGAATGCAGCCGCTCGTTGTCAACCTTTAAAATGTTGTAGGCCCCCCCACAGGTCAGAATTGGTTTTGGCATGTTTCCGATTTTGTTTCATGACCTTTCAGAGCCTTTTCTCCATTTGGCCCTCTTCTCTTCGGTCGTAGTAGCTTCCTCGGTCTTGGAGTGTAAGTTAGCTTCCGATTGTTGATTCTTTCCATGGAAGCAGGCTCATGCTCGGTAGTCAAAGTAACAACATCTTGCAACTCTGCCCATTTAATCTTCAACTCAGCAAGCTCGGCATGTAGCTGAGTGGCTTCTTGACTATGAACCATTTTTTTGTTCCGTTTGGTCCAGGCGAGCCTTGAGTTCGCCCATTTGAGCAAGTTTGGCTAATAAGACCGGAAGGCGTTCAACAAGTTGATCCCGCTCAGCTTGAAGCACTTCCTTGTCAAATATCATCTTTTGTAAACCTTCGGAGGCAAGAAGTTTAGCATGTCAAGTTAATTTTCAAATTGACATAGATGGTGAAAATAAGTATAAAGAAGAGGAGAGGAAGATGAATGGTACCGGAGCAGAAAGATGCATGATGTTGTTGATTAAACATTCGGTGGATAGAGCAACCATTTTCCTCTAATTATTTTCCGTAGCTAGAGGTTTCAAGTAATTGGTTACCCCAAGTGGTTTGGAGAGTAAGTCGCATTCATCCAAAACTCTAAAGGTAACCTTACATTTACCATTAGGGTTTCAGATGGAAGTAGGGAAGACATTTTCTATGTTCCCTTGATTAGGTGATCGGGGAAAACATGCACTTTGCTCTCAATTGGTGGTGACCGGTGGTGGAACAGGAGCCGATGGTGGAGCAGAAGTTGGGGCAGCACCTAAAGCAGAACCCTTCTGACCGGAGGGAACAACTGGAGCCTTGAAATGAGAATTAGAGATTTTAGCCAATTCATACTCTTGAAAGAGTCCTGCCATGTCCTCCGGTTGAACTCTTGGTGTTCTTCTTCTTCTTCCTTGAAGAGAAATCATTTCAGCATCATACTCGATTACTTCTTCATCAAGGACCACAGTGTTCGATCCTTTCGGAATCTCCTTTATAACCGGGGGCTTCTCTTTAGCCGTAGTCTTAGAAGGATGACTTCTTTTTGGCTTTTTCCCTTTGGGCCGGGGATTGATTTATAATGCACCTTCACCGCGCTGCATCACGAGTCCTTTTTTGATCAAGGGCCACTTGAAGTTGTTGTTGGTCCACCTTTGATTTGAGTGAAACATCGACAAATTGGATAAACATAGGACCCCTTTGGAAGGCCTGAGGTTGAAACATGAGAAGTTATAAATCTGTTACCAAATAAAGGCACATGTCAACAAGAAGGGAAAGATGAAGATGTTCTTACCGTGATTCTTGTACTTTCAGTTTTTTCTTTATTGAAATGTTTTTCCACAAGCGGAGTTCCAGCATGGAAGTATCCAAAATCTTATGAACCCATTGCGTTAGGTTCTCTACTCCTTGGATAACCAAGACAGTGGCTAAAATAGAAGGAACAAAAGTTTAAGTAAGAGTGAAAACACTTTCAAAATGAAAAAGAAAGAGATATTTGAGAAGACTTACGAGTATAGTTTCAAGCTTCAGGAATGGGGGATGCTGATACTGGTAAAATATCTCCAGGAGCGATGACAAAAGACCTTTCCATTAAACAAGGGTTATTATCATCATCCACGTTGGTGACGATGGCATTGTAACCATGTTTGCTGAGTTTGATCACGCCTCCTCGAAAGATCTTGGGAGCATAGAGGTGGATCAGGTGTGCAAGAGTGAGGGTTTCTTGTGCCCGAGAACACAAATATGGGAGGCATGCTACCGTACGCCATATCGATGGACCCATCCGAGCCAAGCAAACTTGGTAGTTCTAGCAAATTTCCAAAATAATAGGGTCTATTTTCTTGCCAAGTCTGAGGGTAAAAAGTTATGTATAAACGAAAACATATCCTGGTTTGCTGAAAATTACCCTCTCCACTTCGAGTGGGGCCAAAACTTTAATATTCTTTCCGTCACAATCCTCCTTCAATAGGATATTGCTCGGGCGAATAGAAGAAGGATATTCATTAACCGCTCTTTTTCTGTCATCGTCGGGGTTGGAGAAAGTATTTTGGACCTGGAGATCCTTTTTAAAAGACCATTTAGAAGGGATGATTGTATTTGTTATGGGGAATTCAGCATCAGAGTTCTTGGTTTGCTATTCTTGGATGGTCCGCCACCAATGCAAGCTCCGGCGCCGGTATATGAAGGGAGAGACGAAGTCATAGTAAGATTGTTATGTTTGGAAGCAGAGGATGAGTTACCGGAAAAGGAAATAACGGAAGACATGGTGACTAAAAAGGTGATATTTAATATTCAAACTCGATGGTTTTGTTGAGAAAAGGGAATTACAGAGAGTTCTAAGAGATTTGATGAAGAAGTGCGAAAAAGGTGAAAGATAAAATTGGTGAAAGAGAGGAATTCTATAGGCAGTTCAGTTTAAAACCATCATTACCAAAGTAACTAGCGAACTCGCTCATCAAATCGCGGAGAAACACGTATTAAGTCCATTAAATGCGAAGAGACGTGCATCCTTTCAAGTGACAGAAGCCGTTCAAGAACTTACTCGCCAAGAAAATAGAAGGTTTTATCTACTTTCCGATCACATCAAGTTGAGTCGCCGGAAAGTGGGGGGACTATAGGTATTAGGTAAAATTTACAGCTTGCAGGTATAGGTTTCTAGAGCAGACACATGGCAGTACTAACAAGGTGGAGATGAGTCAGCACATAGTTAATACCAGATACAAGCACGTAATCGGTATTGTGTAAATTTTGAGGATGTAAAGGTCGAGGAAGAGAATTTGAGAATAAGTTGCCGACTGGAGAGAGCAGCATTAAAGGAGCAACCGTTACAAAAAATCATAGCATTTATTCCCAACGTTATGCAACCATCAAGGAGGAAATTTTATTTATCTTTAAGAGGACGCGATTTAGGGATGTTGTCTCCTCAGATTAACTATAAATGACAATATTTGTGCTCAATATAGGGATATGAAATACTGGAACTACAAATGCTATCATTCTTTCTCTCATTTTCCTAAGCTTTATAAATTGTTATCAAGTGTTACCAGTTATTCTTTAGATCCGATGAGATTAATCTGAAGTCATGGCTTGTTCTTTCTGTAAATATCTTTATTTTATTTCCTTTATTATTTTATTAATCAGATCAATTTAATTCATGTGTCTATAAACACATTTATAAATTCTACTGTTCCTCTTTTGCGGGTAAACAGTTAAACCCCCCCCCCTTCCCTCGTGGGGGCTTAACGGACGACAAAGTGTTTGTTAACACTTCATCAGTGATGCGTAGGGGGTAAAAAACAATCATCAATTTAGTTCTTTTTCTTTCTTTAAATTAGACTTCTTCATCATCCTTTTTATTTCTCTTTACTTCTTTATTCTGGAACATATCTTGAGTGTAGCTTTGGGATTTCATCCGATTTTCTTTTCTCTTTCTTCTCTTTTTTGTCTCTTCCATAAAAGCCCTCATTTTATTATGACACCTCCTTGAACAGCTGTTTCTCGATTTCCTTTAAGATTTTTGAAAACCCACATCTTTATGGAGTTTGCTTGCTTTTTTTTTTTTGAGTCTTTTTTTTTAAAGTCCATCATCAAGATGGAGGAGTTAGGCATGACTCCAACCTGTGTATTTCAAAAATAACAATTACACGGAGGAGGACATAAACCTCAGCCTCGATTACATAGTGTAGATTGACTAAGGCCAATCTATTGTACAACTGCAAAAAACAATTTGGACAGAGAATGGAAGCAATCTCCTTACCTATAGACATGTACATAACACCAAAAACTGCTATTACATACAAGTTTGTCACTTCTGCCCGAACCAAAATACTCTCAAGTAATAACATCATTAATTGTAAATTGGTTCCTTCTTGTTGTGAATCTGAAATTCGGAAGGCCATCTTGTTCTAACTGCAAAGAAGCTCTAACTTGTCTTGGAAGAGAAACAGCTTCATTGAAGATAATGTGTTCCTTTGTATTTTCACCCAGGTTAGCAAGTTGATCAGCTACATAGTTGCCTTCTCTAAAAGTATGCACAAAATTAAAATTACCTAGACTGGTTATCTCCCAAATCTGCTCTATAATATGTTTGATCCGCCATGGTGGCTTCATCCTTCTGTTGATAATAGAAACAATTAACAGGGAATCTGTCTCCACAATAACATTTTGAAGTCCTAAGCTATTGCACAATTTGATACCATGTAAAACTGCCTTAGCTTCAGCCATGTTATTGCTACAATGTCCATAAAATTCAGCAAAGGCTTTCACCATATCCCCCAACTGGTCTCTAATAATACCTCCACCTCCAGCTGATCCAGGATTTCCTTTACTGCACCCATCTACATTGAGTTTAACCCAACCTCTATCTGGTTTCTTCCACCAAACTGCTTGAGAATGGATACTATGTTGAATCTTCTCTATAGTCCTACACTTTTCTAGCCATACATGTGGAAGAGTAAGACTGGGGAATTGACAGTTAAGCATCAAAGATAAGCAATTAGAGACTTGTTGAATAATATGCCATCTTGACATGTGAATATCTTCAAATCTTGCTGAGCATCTATTCTTCCAAATCTCCCAACAGATAAGTGAAGGTAAACACTGCAGAACCATAGAGTGAACTAAGCTTCTTTCCTTAGCTAGCCACCAATTCATAAGAGTTTGCCTTATCTGATCCTTGATAAACCTAATGCCATAAGCATTGCAAAAATAGGACCATATCTGTGTTGCTATTTGACTACTACTGAAAAGGTGTGAAATGGTTTCCTCATCATGATTATTACAACAACAACATTTTGAGGGAATCATAATACCAAATTTCTTAACAACATCATCAGTAGGGATCCTAGCTTGTAGAAGTCTCATCATAAAGAATGAGATCTTGAATGGCATTTTTTTATGCCAGATCTTCTTACATGTCAGAGACTCCCCCTTTTTCTTCCTAACAATATCCCACGCTGACTTACAAGTAAAGACTCCAGAATTTTCCAGCATCCAGTAAGGGCAATCATTCCTCAGTTCATTGATATCCACTTCCTGAACTACGTTAACCACATTGAGAGGCAATACCTCCAGTAATTTCTCTCGTCTCCAAGAACCTGCCTGAATAAAATCCTTCACCAAAGTATTCTTGGGTGTTCTAATAGCATGAACTAGATTAGCTAAAGCTCCTAGACCAGTCCAATTGTCCCACCAAAAAGAAATTTGACCTCTTCCTATCTTCCAAAAAATAGCAGGTTCAACATCTTTTTTTATGTCCATTAGTCTTTTCCAAGTATGAGATTGCCCATAGACCCATTTCTTTGCAACAGAGTGAGATCTTTTACAATATTTAGCCTCCAAGAATTTCTTCAACAAGGTATTTTGAGTCCTAAAATTCCACCAGAGTTTGGCAGAGAATGCATTGCAAGTGTCTTGTAAAGACCTGAAACCAACTCCCCCTTCTTGCACTGGAAAGCATAAATAGCTCCAAGCTATCCAGTGCCTTTTGTTTCTACTATCCTCCTTTCCCCAGTAGAAGTTAGCAATAATTTTATCAATCTGGTTCAAAACTGTTTTAGGAGGGTGAACCACAGCTAGTAGATGCAAAGGAAGTGCATGCAACACAGATTTAATTAGGACTGCCTTCCCACCATAGGATAATAATCTTCCTTGCCACCCTTGCATCCGATTAGCAACTTTGGCCACCATGTTGTTGAAGTAAACCACCTTTTTCCTACCTACATAGATAGGACACCCCAGATATATCATCGGAAATTGGCAATAAGAAAAACCAGTTATCCTCGAAATGTCTGTAATTCTAGTATCACCCTCTTTCAATGAAGTATAGAACCCAGATTTTCCTTTGTTTACCATCTGACCTGAAACCTTCTCATAGACTTCCAATTTAGACATCATTAATATTAATGAGGTAGGATCAGCAGAAGAAAAGAGGATAGTATCATCCGCATAACACAAATGAGATATGTTAGGTCCCTTTTTATCTACTGAGTATGGAATGAACCCTGAGTCAATTAGGTTGTCCATAAGCCTAGATAAAAGTTCTGCACCAATGACAAACAGGGATGGAGAGAGAGGATCTCCCTGCTTGATTCCTCTGCTAGACTTAAAAAAACCATGTCTAACTCCATTTATGTTAATAGAGTACCAAACATTAGTCATAAGTCTCCATACAATATCAATCCAGATTTCTGAAAAACCCATCTGTCTAAGTACTTGACAAAGATATTCCCAAGAAACTCTGTCATATGCTTTAGCCATATCCAGTTTCAATACCACATTCCCACTTGCAGATGGTTTAACAATATTGTGGACCATATCTTGAGTCAACATGATATTTTCAGTAATTGATCTCCCCTTGATGAACCCTGTTTGATTAGGAGACACCAACTTCTGCATCAAGGGACTTAGTCTTTGGTTCACCAACTTGGACAGGATCTTGCATGAGAAGTTACTAAGACTGATTGGTCTTAGCTCTGTGAAAGATTGTGGATAGTCCACCTTAGGAATTAGGACCAGACAAGTATGAGTAAATGCCTTAGGAATTTGATTACCTGCAAAAAAATCAAGAACCATTAGTAGTAAATCCTCTTTTATTATCTCCCAACATGAGTGATAGAACTTCCCAGAGACACCATCAGGGCCTGGTGCACTCTGAGAGCTCATTGAAAATACCACATCTTTTAATTCCTCCATGGTTGGTACTGCTATAAGTTTTTCATTATCTGCATCATCAATGATTGTAGGAATGCACCCCAGAACTGAGAAGTCATTGTCAAAGTTCTCCCTTGTGAACTGATTCTGAAAGAAAGAGATTGCTTCATGAGCAATTTCCTCATCACCCTCAACCCACGTTCCATCTTCCTTTCTCATCTTTTTCAAAGTTAACCTCTTCTTTCTTCCTTTAACAACAGAGTGAAAAAATTTAGAATTAACTTCTCCTTCCACAAACCATTTAACCCCTGATTTTTGTTTCCAAAAGGACTCTTCTTTCTTGTAAGCTCTCACCAATAAAGCATTAGCCTGATTTAAGCCAGCTCTATTCACCTCAGAATTATCGGCAATGATGTTGGTCTCCATCTCCTCTACTTTGTGTTCTAGCTCTTCAATCTTGTCAAAAATATTGCCCAGAGTATTCCTGGACCATTCAGACAACTTCTTGCAAGTATTTTTCAGCTTCATGTGGAATTTCCACATTGGTGATCCCTGCACCTCCATATTCCAAGCTTGCTCTACCACCCTGCTAAAATCTGCTTCTTTGGTCCAGAAATCCAAGAACCGAAAGTACTTAATAGGTTCTCTGTGTGTAGTTTTGGCAATGACAAATAGGGGAGAATGATCCGACCCAGTCCTGATCAAGTGATTGACACTAGTTGAATCAAATAGGTTCAACCACTCTTGATTGATCAAGACCCTATCCAATCTTTTCCATATCCTCTTCTCTGGACACCATCCATTGCACCATGTGAAGATAGATCCAGAGTAACCTGGATCAATGAGTTCACAATCCATAATACACTGTATAAAAGGTAAGCTTTTGGACATTCCGTGAGGCTTACCTCCTTTCTTTTCACCAGGATCCACAATACAATTAAAATCCCCTGCAATGAGCCAAGGTAGTTTGTACCTATCTGCAATGTCCCTCAAGCTATCCCACAAATCTTCCCTAAGTACAGCATCACACTTAGCATAAACAGCCGATATTATAATTGTATCTCCATTCCACTTGATTTCACATGTAACTTGTTGCTCACTCTCTTCAATAACCCTGCATTCCAGTAGCTCATCCCAAAAAATCCATATTTGACTATTACTGTTGGCATAAGCATTTGCATATCCTAAAATTCTTTTGTATTTGTCCAATTTAGCAGCTTTACAAAAAGGTTCACATAGAGCTACAAAAGGAAGTTTTTGTGATCTAATAAGTTGCTTAAGTCTCTCAAGAGCACCATTAGAATTGATGCTCCTGATATTCCAAAATAGGGACTTAATCATTAGATTATTTGGAAAGGTGTAGTTCCTGTGAGGTTTTCACAGGCTGATATGTAGAGTGTCTACCACCCCTTCCTCTTGTTATTTGTCTGCCACCTCTAGTGTTACCTCTGCCCCTGCCTCTACCCCTAGTAGAAAGATGAACTTTGTTGTCGATGGTGTCCAATTCTGATGTCACAGCAATATCCACTAATGATTGAGTACAAAATGTATCAACTAGAATGTCTGCATGATCATCACTATTATCTCGAGGAGGATCCATCAAAGTATCAGCTTGATCATCACTGTATATCTCTTCACTGTCAACACTAGCATACTCCTCACTTGCTTCTGAGCTCTCTTCATCAGCATAGTCCATGTCTTTTGAGCTACTCTCTTCTTCTGAAGAAGAATCAGATTGTTGTCCATGTTTTAAATCATATACATAATCACTATTCTGCTCCTCTTCCAAGTTTGTGCCACTGATAAGCTTCAAATAATTACTTTGGATTTCTCCGCGGTCCATGTCATAGGTTGCTTCGACATTTTGTGAGTTGAACACATTTGGCTTCTCTTTTTGGTTTGATGTTTGCCCCACTTCCATTTGTTTCACATTATCAATTTTATACATCCGAAGCTGAATTATATTATACGATATTTTGTAAAATTAACCCTAAATTTTAATTTACTGTAATCTATAGCCATTGTTCGGAACGTGAATCATATACGTCTATACTATTAAGGGAATTGTCTCAATTTAATTATTTGTAAGACAAAGTTATACTTTGCAAAATTCACAAAGACATATCAAACATTTCATAATAATATATTTTTCCATCATTTTCAAGATTTATTCATAAATATTTCTCTTTAACACCTAATTTACAACTCCTTTTATCACACACAAAAATATAAATAAATAAATTATGCAAAGCATTTTCAAAAGTATAATTAGCTCTCCCTGATGGTTGTTATCTATCATTTCATAATATATCGTATAGTATTGTATTGTATTGTGCTTTATCATTTTGATGTATACAATATTTGGATAGATTGTATTGTTTGTCATCATTTCATTATGTCATGCACCAACAATAAGAATAAACTAGTAATATTATAAAGAAAAAGTAAGGTACGAGGTAATATTATTATATAAAAAAGTAGAATAAATAATACAACAACAACAACTCAGTAAAATCCCACTAGTGGGGTCTGGGGAGGGTAATGTGTACGCAGACCTTATCCCTACCCCGATGGAGTAGAGAGGCTGTTTCTGAAAGACCCTCGGCTCAAGAAAACAAAAAGATAAAAGTGACACTTTTCTTTATTACGTAATAATGTATTTAACGATACGATACAATAAATTTAAATAACAATCAAAATAATATTATATTTAAAGTAACAATACGATACAATACAATATGTAACAGCTATCCAAATAATTGGCTAACTTACTTTTCTTTAATTGTGCTTTACTCCACAATATTAGCCCTTTTGGACATAACAAAATTTTCAATTTTTTTCGAAATCAGCGTTTGATCATAAAATTTTCAATTTTACTTGAAGATGCATTTTGGAATTTTTCAAAAATTTGAAAAACTCCAAAAAGCTATTTTTCAAAATTATCACTCACAAAACTACAAACCCAAATTATATTCAATGTCCAAACACATTTCTAATTTTCAAATACCATTTTCAGTTTATTTTTTTTTCATTTTTTTGGAATTTTACAATTTTATGTCCAAACGCCCACTTAACCTCGGACCAAGCACAGGGAAAAGAAACAAATTTCACCTTCAATTCCCAAATTCAAACATTTCTCAATTCTCAATTTTCACATAGTAGAAGAAGAAAATGGGGAACCCAAAGAAACAATCAAGTGATAGGAACGAGGAATTACATACGGCGGCTCGATCTGGGGACCTAACCGCTGTTCAAACAATATGCAGTACCAATCCTTTAGCCGTCAACTCCAGGGATAAACACTCTCGCACCCCGTATGTTTTCTTTTCATTTACTTCTTCAACTTTAAACTTTACTATCAATGAATTTGACTATTCACATGCCTTTATTTAGCTAAAATTAGTCTTAAACCAAATGGGGTTTTGTTAAAATTGATACCTGAAGGTGGGAATTTACTACGTGGGTGTAATTTGTTGCTGCAACATCTGAGATTTTATTAGGGTTCAGAAATAATTTATTGAATATATGATGTCGAAGATTCTTTAGCCTATGGTCTTGCGGAAACAGGCTATCTGCCTTCTTAGGGTAGAGTAAGGTTGCGTATATCCTACCCTCTCCAAATCCCACCTGTGGGAATTCAATCGGTTTATAATTGTCGTTGTTGTATATGATGTCGAAGATTTTTTATAGTGGGTATTTCTAGAACTTCACTATTAGGATCTTACCATTGAACCGGTTACACATTTGAATTTATGGGATCAATATGTGATATTTTCTGAAATTTTAGTGATTTTCACATTTATATCTATTCTTTGTATGAAAAATGCTGGGTTCGGTTGAACCCGTCGTTTACATGTCCCTGCATAAATAAATAAAAAATTAACTATTGGAAAGTACTTTGGAGCTAAGTGGCAAATGTTGCTTTGTTGCAGCAGCACACCTTTCGCCTATCGAACTATATATAGGTGAAAATTAAACTGCATATAGGGTTTGCTTCGGGGTAACTGAGGTGATAAGCGAAGAGGAAAAAGCTACATAAATTCATCGCTAGTGAATTATTAGCTAAATTTTGATATATGCTGGGACTATTTGTTAGCCTGATTAACTGTGTGTGAGTTAACTAAATCTCGTATTTCCAACTAACAAGGATGTATATCCACCAGTTCCTCAAGCGATAATAAAATGCTACAATATAGTTTTTGAGGCTTTTTTCTGAGATGAGCTTAAATAGAGCAACATGGTCAGTGAAGATTCATATAGCCGACTCCAACTTGCTTGGGACTAGGATGTAGTTGTTGTTGTATTTTGCTTTTTGAGGCTTTTCTGATTCTATATACCCACTGTATACTTTGTTTCCTTTTGGACATATTGCTTAATTTGTGTTCAAGGACTTCTGTTTTGATTTTAGTCTTGCTACATCATTGGCGCACAGTTTTGTCTATGCTGGAGGGTGAATGTTATTCAGAATGTATTTATTCAACTCTGAGAGGATTCATAGATATCTGCATATCGTTTTAAAGGCTAGTTAAAACTTCTAGCCAGTATTCCTTTTTACCATAATGATGTTTCATCCAAGCATCCGTTCTAAAACACTAAATTGTTAGTTTTGAGTCACAGTAAAAGGGCAGTCCGGTGCACTAAGCTCCCGCTATGTGCGGGGTCCGGTAAAGGGCCGAACCACAAGGATCTATTGTACGCAGACTTACCCTGCATTTCTGCAAGATTGGGTCATACATAGTATATGCAATTTTACAAACAGCCTTCTCCAAAAATCTGAACGGCGGCCTTAAGCTTTCACAATTTCTGCTCATACATCTCCACATTTTCTTCTCTTCTACCATGCTTTTTAGCTGTAAGAATTACTTCAAGGGCATTGCACCTGTCAAAGTGCTGCTTTCATTACCTATTGGGATGCTAGTTCCAGTAAATAATTTATAAGGTTTGGTCTCCATATCTTCCTTCATTTCTGCTGCTTTCATTACCTAAACCCTAAACCTTGACATATGTTTGAGTGTTAAGCGATGTATCTTAACACTTGTTTAATACTCGGGTTTATCTCTTACACTAGCCAGATTCCTGCTTAGGTATTTGGTGCGTTGATATCTCTTAAAAAATATTTCTTTCTTAAAATTTCAGTTTCTAAAACATTATTTTTCACTAATTATTATTTTTTATAATAATGTAATTGAAAATATTATTCTTAATTCAAAACTAATTTTAGTTGGCTATCTAAAAATATAAAAAATTCTTTAGCTAGTGAATTTTTTTTACTCCATTTTGATATTTGACATTAACCATGTTAAATATATGAGTTATTTGAATATATATGTAAATAACCTTAATATTTAAACCATCTGAATAATTATAGATGATCGTCAGATATTAATTAAGAAACACTACATGAAGAAAGACTAACATTTTTCACTCGTAGTGATAATTTTATTTTTGCACTATTCTCATAGGTGTCATTGGAACCCTAAAAATAGCCACAAAGTGAAATAATAACTCATATTTATTGCAAAGCACAAAGGTTGACACGATATAAACGATTCTTTGATTACGACGTGACTCTTATACTACGACTTGAACTCTTATTTGGTATGGCTTTATCTTTCAAAAAATATTTCTATTTTGAAATTTCAATTTCTAAAACTTTATATATATTATAATAATGATTATCTTTATAATGATGCAAGTGAAGATATTATCCTTAATTTAAAATTCACTTTAATCGGCTCTTTGGCCGGATTTATTTTAGTATGACTCCACTTTAAGTTTATCGATATCTCTAGCCCCAAAATTTGAATTTTTAATGCCCTATATATACAAAAATTTTGTTCTTTGAATCATTAAATGTTAAATTAGTTGATTATTATTATAAACCATTGCATATATTGTCTTAAAATTGTCAAGTAGTTTATTTTTCGACACCATACTTGGCCTAACTTCAATGCAAACTACTCAAATTGCATTCCAATTCAAATTCGAATATCATATCAGTTTGTTAGTGATAGTGATTTTTTAAAAGCGACACATGTAAATTAAAAAAAAAAATATTCGAAGATATCCTTATCTTACAATCTATGTATTTGAGTTGAAAGAAAAATATTTGAAATCGATGATATTAACTTTCAAATTTTTTATACTCAACAAAGATGAAACATAAGAAGAAATTTGTTGTCATGTTTTATTTTTCGTTTTTAGATCTTTCTAACATTTTTTCAATATTTATTTTCTTTTATCTTATTTTTTATGTCATTATTTCTTTTGTTACAAAAAATTCATTTATCTCACTATAAAAGGATGAGTTTTTAATAAAAATTGTCTACATATGAACTTTAATTATATTTTTAGTCTTTGGTTGAAATTATTTCATATTTTTCTTTTGGCTTTATCTAATCAGCCTAAATAGGTGCTCACCCGACCACTTAAATTAAAAAATTGAATGATGTGTAATTTATATATAATCCATATATAATATGTGAGAATCGTGTGTTGTCGGTATATCATCTATTTGTATTAGCTATAAAAGTAAACAATAAATATGGCGATTTTTCATAAGATTTCGGTTTTTTGAGTTTATATATGATATAACTTCTATTATAATAATTCTAAAATTGTCTACTAATGTTCAAAAATATCTTATCTTTTTATTATCTTTGAATTAAAAAAAGTAAAAAGTTTTTTCGAAACAATTTTTTTACATTTAAAAAAAAATATTTCACGTCATACCAATTTTTCTTTATATATACTCTTTGTTACACTTAAAAGTCGCTATAGAAACTATCAATTAGAAACCAATTTATTTCTTGTTGAGCTTGAAAAAAAACACCTTTCACATAATCTAATGATTCAAAACTAATATTCTTCAACGAAAAAAATATTATACCCTTGCAATATTGGCTTGACTACAGCTAAATGAAGGGGTTTCAGCTTATATCCTTCAATTCATTGAATGTGCTAAATTGAAATTAATGATAGCAATTGCATAACCAAAGTTTTGTTATTTGCTTGATGTCCATTTATGCAAATTGACTTTTCAAACAAATATTCTTCAAGAAGAAAAAATATTTTTTTTTAATATTGACTTATTTTGTGATGTTTCTTTCTCCAGCATGTATGTTTACTTTATTATATATGTAGGTAAACTTTTATTTGGTTTTTTTAAACTCTTTTTTGTTATTTAGATAAACATAGACGTGTACCCTATATATTACTTTTATTTTAAAAGAATTTCATTTTCAAATCTAGCTACAATGTTTCAAAGCACTATACATATAAGATTTTAAATGTCAAAGAGCTTGGTAGTTATATGGAGTAATTTTTTTTTTGCTAGAGGAGAAGTAGTATTTGAATAATTAGAAAAAAATAATAAAAGTTCCTAACATGAATGCATATGATCATTAACCGAATTAAGTATGATAACATGATAAAAAAAAGATAAATTTTATTTTTAAATTAAATTCAAATTTTAGAACTTTATATATAAATTCAAATTATTTGTTATTTCAAATATATATATATATATATATATATATATATATTATATTTGTATTTAACTAAAATAGTCAAATATAGAATAAAGTTACCATATACTATTGACATTTATTAACTTGCCACTTGGCTTAACCATAATGGCAATTATATATGGTAACTTTCTTGCTTTAATATATAAATGGATATGGATATGATAACATGATTAAAAAAAAGAAGATATATTTTGTTTAATTTAAATTCAAATTTTAGAACTTTATCTATAAATTCAAAATTATCTTTTAATTTATATATATATATATATATATATATATATATATATATATATATATATATATATATATATATATATATATATATATATATATATATATATAAACCACTGTTCTAAATATATTGTGTGGCTAATGTTACATTCCCTCTCCACATTAATATGCTGTCATGTCAAAACGATCCACCTTTGAGTCACCAAGAATATGCATCATAGATAATTTCTAGTATTGGTTATTGCTGGCTATGAGCAGATTGTCTCCCTCGGCATAAGTTTGCAAGACGTGTGAGATTATAGGAGGAGAAAAAAAAAATATACGTTGGAAAGTCAAATAGAATGACTTGTTAGTGAAACCTGAATAGTACATGTAGGTATTCGATGGAATAGTCAAAGTGTGTACAAGTTCGCTTGGATACTTCCATTATCATTAGAATAAATGAAAGTGAAAATTGAATAGTATCTTGAATAGGTTCAGTAAATTCATTTGTCTGTACATGAGAAGAAAGGATGGATACATATGGTTGTTTTATAAGATTGCTTTATCTCCTGAAGTCCCTGCTGTATCTGATTTTGTTCTCACCACGGTCATCAACACTTACGTTACCAGACCTTTGTGGATTATCTCATTTGTCATTTTCTTTTTTCTCTAGATATTTCAATCAACCACTACATCAATGAACAAATTCTGAAATTGATATGAAGGGAGCCCCTTTTGTGTTTAACTTTTCAATATCTTTCCTCCTGAGCTTCTGCCCCAGCATGATGTCAATATACCATAATATGGCTAGTTATGGACGTCCCTTTCTGTGTGTTCTTTTTTTCTCTCCCTCCCCCCACCCCCCAAATAGTTAATTTCCTTGTCCAGGTTTTTCCACTCTCAAGTGAGTGAAGTCTTTTTGCTCCGGTAACTTCTAATATCTTTTTTCCTTGTTAATGAATTTTTTAAATGGACTTCAGGCTCCATCTAGCAGCATGGTCTGGGCATGCCCAGATAGTGGATTATCTCTGCAAGAACAAAGCCGACGTGGGTGCTGCTGCTATGGATGACATGGGTGCAATTCACTTTGCCGCTCAAAAGGGTCACTTGGAGGTTGTTAGGCTTCTGGTTAGTTCTGGAGTTTCCATCAAATCATGCAATCGCAAGGGTATGACTCCCCTTCATTATGCTGCCCAAGGATCTCACCTGGAACTCGTCAAGTATTTGCTGAAGAAAGGCGCAAATGTTAATACCAAAAACAAGGCAGGGAAAACCCCTATTGATCTTGCAAGCAATGAAGAAGTCTCCTCCACTTTACGTCAACCTGTAACTGCACCGTCCAAAGAAGCTGGAAATGGTGAAGAAAACAGGGTTGAATCCGAATCAAAGCCATCATCCACGCAGGAGGAGATAGAGAGCTCTGATGGCAAAGGTGTTGCAACTGAGGAAGGAGAAATAGAGGCTGAGAAAGATGAATCCCTCAAGAGAAAGGGTGACGAAGATGAAACCAACGAGAAATCAAAAGAAACGAAGAAGGCCAAAGTCTCTTTAAATCATCTTCTTGCCACAGATGACAACGAGGAAGATGAAGAATAGCTTTCTCTAGCTACAAGTGTTACTAACATGTAAACTAGCTATTCTGCTAGTAGGGTAGTTTACTAAGAGCACTTATAAATATGTACACTTTTCCTTCCTTTAAAAGAAGCAGAACATTTTATTATCGTGTAACTTGAGTTAGTAAATGGAACTTTCCCGACTTTATGATCGTGTTCCGCTTCAAAGTCAGTTGTTTTGCTAAGTGTGAACTGCAGGCGAATCATCTTTGCTCAAGTGTGAACTTTAGGTGAGTCGTCTTTGCTCAAGTGTTAACAGCAGTGACTCTATTTGGCTGCCCCCATTTAACATGTACCCACGTTTTTCAAAAAGTTTAATTGGTACACATATGTAGGTACTTCAGACAAATGCTTCTTCTCTGCCATTTCTTTTTCTTCTTCTTCTTCAGGTTCTTCTTTTTCTTAGTTGCTGTAAAATAATATATTTTTTTTTAAATTTATAGCAATTGAACTATATTGCTCTGAAGAAGTGACTCTTGAATTTGGAATATGAAAAGTGAGTTCAAATCAAGTAGTGTTGTTGGAAAAACTTGAAAACATTCGCAAATTACCATTAGTGTTGTTGCAAAATGGGTTTGTTTGATTTATTATTGTTTTTTTGAAAAGTGATGATTGAGGTTTGTTCTTTATGATATTTAGAACTTATGTTTTAAAATTGAGCTCATATGAAGTAGATTTGAATGTTGAATCGTGTATTTGTCAACCCGAAGAACAAATTACTATTTTTGGGTAAAAATTTGTTACCTGAACTTCAGACATATACGACATTCAAGCAAAAATGTGGCTGAACTTATTGCCTGAACTATTGCCATAAAAATAAACAGTTGTTGAAAAGTTTTACATAGGCATCTTTAACTTGAGTTTGTTGAAAGATTAATCAGCGTATCCAACTCTCATTGGAGGGTTACAGATCAGTATGTAGTAGGAGATTTAGAGATGAAGATATAGGATCTGAGATTATGGGTCAAGAAATTATCATCTGTTGCTGCCAGTAATTAAGGTACATCCAAATACAAGCAATTTTCATATTAGTGCGTCAAATGGCTTAATTTCAGCTATATGAGCATAGACTTCAGTCTAAAATGTGTGAAGTTAGGCCTTGTCCGAAATTAGCATTGGCAAGCCAAGCCACAATTCACACAAAAATATCAAAGTTTAACCTTGACAAGGCCACACTTTCGGCAAAAAATATCGAAAGTTTCCCGAACTTCATATTTTTGCTACTTCAGTCTCATATGTCTAAAGTATATTCCGAAGTGAATAAATAAGCAAAAAAATTAATAGTACGGGTATAACGTCAGTGGTGGCTCCAATATTGGTTATAACTGCACTTATCCTCAAACCCTAAGGATAGCACTTGCAAAATCTTGGAAAATGAATATTAGCTCGACTTCTTAATTAGAGGATATATATTGTAATTTAGTCTTCTAGTAGAAACACTAAAATCAAACTTACAGCTTGTTTGGATGGTTGTTCCCTGTTGAATCGTATTGCATTGTTATCCCAAAATAATATTTGTTTTGATTGTTTCATTAAAATTGGTTGTATTGTATTGTTAAATCCATTGTTCCACAACAATGAAAAGTCTCCTTTTTTGGAACAACCGAGTGGGATTGTTTTCTATTTTTCTTTCCAATTATGCCCTAACTTATTACTCCACAATTATATTGTATCCTTTAGCTTTTTTTTTTTTTTCTATTTAAACTCCAAATCTCCAGCATATAACCTACTTTATTTTTTTCCAGAGCTTCTGCCGCCAACGTTAAAGGTATTTTGCCGCCTTCTGTTTTATTTTTTCTCCTAATTTGCTTTTAACTCAATTCTAATTAGATGCGCTCCTTTGTTTTGCCTTCTTCTGTTTCACTCCTTTGTTTTGCTTTCTTAAAGTGTTTTGCCTTCTTCTGTTTCACTCCTTTGTTTTGCTTTCTTAAAGTGTTTTGCCTTCTTCTGTTTTATTTTTTAAAATTATTTTTATGCATAATTTTTGATAAATTTAATACCCCATTTTTGCATTTCTTTATCTATATTTTGCCAGGTTAAAGAGTCCGCGCTCTCCATGTTCTTGAGAAAGTTTTTCAGCTTGCTGACTAGGGTTGGCAGCTAAATTCAGTCTTCGAGACCCCATAACATATGAAGCCATTACTACATGATAGTAGGAAGAAAATGCATAGGAGTTGTTAAAAGGTCCTATGAATTTGTCTATCTATCATTGATTCTCAAGTCAAAAGACTTCGTTTTTGGGTTCCCCGAAGCCCCGAATGGAATGGATCGTGAGGAGCGCTGGGAAGAATGGATCGGGGAGATGCCCTTGAAGTCTCCTATGATATGAATCAATCTTTCCCCAGAAGTCGAGAATTAAGATTCTAAAGCACTAATAGGGTATCGAGAAGGTCATTCATTGCAACTGCTAGTCCTTCAGTATTGAAAGCAGCACATCAATCAAAGAACAGACCACTAGCCAGCTTTCGTAAAATTCTTTTATGAGGAATAGTACCTTGTGAGGGTGCTAGATTTCGCGCCCCCTTTTTTTCGCGAAATCGGGTTTATGACATTTGGGAGGACAACTCATTCCTTTTGGGAATTGGATTTGATTTAAAGAGTCGCCACCTAATGATTAGGGTGCATTAGGACACCAAGGAGATTTGATTTGAGTAACCAGAGATTGGGTAAGGGCTTGAAATTATTCTAAGGGGAAGGTGTTAGGCACCCCTCAGAATCCACTAATGTGGTTCCCGGCCAGACTATTATTGTGAATTTGGTACAATTAGCATATAAACAAATAGGGCTCAAATAAGAGGGGATTTCATCACATAAAGGTTTGAAAGTAAACAAGGTTTGAAAGGAAAATTAAGAAAAACCGATTTTAAAAAATAAAGAGTTAAAATGCTGAAAAGAAAGAAATAAAGGATAAAGGGAGAGGGGTCCTAGGCTTATTAGTAATATGGATCACCCCACACAATGGCCGGTAATCACTCCTCGATGAGGGGCTACACGTGACATTATCGCATGGTCATCATATCCATATCTACCCTTCCCACCCCGTTGAGGTATTAAAGCGCGGAATGGTCTCGTTTACCTATTGCATACTACTACCCGTCCCAATCCTAACAGTCCCAGAGGCATGAGGACTACTAATCCTAAAGGGAAGGGATGTTAGGCTTATTTGTGGTTTCAAAGGCAAAAATTCTAAGGCGACATACAAAACATGTATAGCAAGTTGGGGGAAAGCACATAACAGGCAGAGGCTCAGATACACCTCCTTGAACAAAGGAACACGTAATTAGCATGACTTACATATACTAGTTAAGGTCTGATTAAGTACTGAACATGCAAGAGCTTAAAGGTTGAGGCAGACTGATTTATTATACAATTCAGATAAGAAGCCCGAATCAGGCCTGCCAGCTGGTTGTATTTATTAACAGAACTGATTTAATTTATAACTTTAACCTAAGGCTTGCCTATGTGTTGGACAAGGATCTTATAGGCATGGTGTCTATTGAATTCAAAAAGCAACGAAATAACAGGGTTTAAAGTAAACTGGACACATACTGATTAACAGAGGAGTCAGATTTTTGTTAAAAGAAAGGCCAGTTTTTAATGAAGATTATAAGTTCTACAGCTAACAGTACCCGTTGTTACTGATTTTAGTTTCATATGTGAATGAAGCGATTCAGATTCGATTAGGAGTTCCTATAGACATGCTTTCTAAGCATAGTTGATTTTGAACATGGTATAAAATGCAGGAAACTTGTTTTAAGACTTATGAACATGATATCTAGGTGCTGAATTTTGTTTAAGGCCTATGAACATGGTATCTAAGTGTAGGAATTGCTTTAAAACCTATGAACATGATATCTAAGTGCAGAAATTATTTGAAAACCTATGAACATGATTTCTAAGTGCAGAAGTTATTTGAAAACCTATGAACATGATATCTAAGTGCAGAAATTATTTGAAACCTATGAGCATGATTTCTAAATGCAGAAATTATTTGAAAACCCTACGAACATGATTTCTACGTGAATGATGGATATACAGAATTTAGAAGGACCTATAGGCATGATTTCTATGTGCATATGCACAATTCAAAATTCCTATAGGCATGGTATCTACCCTGTTTGCATACATAGTTACCCGCCCTTTTCACTAGCCAATCCCAAGAGTTTATTACAAATTAGTACAGCCCAGATTAAAGTAAAAAATACATCAGAAAAAATATAAATAAAAGTACAACCAAGGAGAGCCTGATTCAGACTTCATGTCTGAAATATGAGGTAAACAACCTCCATGAGATCATGATCCAAAGCCTTTCTCCCATTTGAGTGTGTCAAAGTTCCCTAAGAGCCTTAAAGGGACTCCGAGCAATGCTCACACCCAAATGTATTATCAGATTGGGACAAAGTGCAGTGTGGAAGGGCCAGCCCTCAAGTGTCCAAGTTCAGAGGGAACTCAAAGGGTCCCAACGCAAGGCTCACAAGAGGGGGGGGGGGGGCAGAACTTAAAGACTAAGAAAGTGTGCAAGTGCAGAATAGAGTGCTAAAAGGGAAAAAGGAAGAGGGAATCAACTACATATAAGCACACACAAGGGGATTCAGGGGAATAGGGGATTGTAAAGAGCCTGTCGCTTAGGCAAAGGCAGACTTTAGGCATGCCCAGCAATGGGGAGTGCTAGCACACCTGTAAGCCTGCCAGAACACATACTGTTAGAAGCTAGGATCCCCAGGGGATCAAGTTCAATTCATGGACAATAACTTGCATATTGCCATGCCTTAAACCATAGCTTAAACACATAGGGGGCAGGGGTTTGGGATTCATAATAGAACAGGCAGAAAGAAATCAATAAGCTAGAATGAGTGTTGAACTATACATAAGCAGTAAACAGGGATACAAAAGCAGTAAATAAACACATTGTTGTGGTGCTGAAACTTAAATCAGGATATACCAGTTTCAAGGAAACAAATATAGAGAAAGCAAGCAACAGGTCTTGTAATAGGCCACAATATAAGCAAACAAGAGAATACTTTTTTGAGTGTAAGTATAAGTTTTGAAAGACTACCAGTGATTGTTTGTTAATGAAAGAGTCGTGTATTTATAGTGTGAAAAACAGACAAAAATAAGGTAAGAAAACAATTAAGGAAATGGGTATCAATTAAA